CTGGCGAGCTTCCGGCAAACTTCCGGCGGTCTTCCGATGAACTCTCGGAAACCATTCTGCGGACTCCCGGCAAGCTCCTAGACTTCATGATTTGTTCTTAGCGAGTTCCAACGAGCTTCTTTGGCAAGCTCCGATCTTTCTCGGCGAGCTCCGCGAACTCCCAACGAACCTTCCGGCGAGCTTCCGAAAAACCCTTCAGCAAGCTCCCAACTCATTCTCGGCTAGTTCCGGTAGCATTCCCGACGAACCTTCGGACTTCCGTCGAACTCTCGAACTCGCAACAAATCCTTCGCGCTTGACTCCGACAATTTGTTTCGCTTTATGTCTTCATCGTTATCATAGTTAATCCTGCACAATTAAAACAAAACTTCGATCGAGACAATTAATCATAAGCAATTAACCAAGTTGTCCGGCATGTCATTGGTCCCTCGACGCTTCGTCTGATTCTTCGGCGCATCGTCCTCTCCTGCAGCCTATTGTCCAATCGGCCAGTTGACTCCGCAACTCCGATATCCTTGGCACAATAACCGCTCTTCTTGGCCCGATGCCCGAGTCCACTGCCCGAAGCCTTCTATCGATACGTCAACCGATCTACCGGCCCGACATCCAATCTTCTGACATGTTCCTCCGGCACAACATGATTTTCCTGCTTTAATTGTCTCATCCTAATCAAAGCATCCTGCGTCACTCAAAACACATATTAAATCATAAACATATATCAAGTAGTTTCATCATCAAAATACGAGATTCAACACTCCAGGATAGAGATATTTATGCAGATCAGGAAGAAGGGACTCTTGAAGGAACCTAACCCAATGAGGGCCCCACGCGAGCTTAGAGATCGCTCCAAGTACTACCGATTTCATCGCGACTATGGACATGACACCGAGGAGTGTCGCGATTTGAAGAACCAGATCAAGGAGCTCATTAATCGAGGACACCTAGGTCACTATATTAAAATACCACGAGAATTATCGCCACGCTCCTCGGGTCCGATCGAGAAGCAGATTGATGTGATTAGTGGCGGCTCAACATCGGGTGGGGATAGCATGGCGGGACGAAAGGCTTACGCCCGAGTAGTAGTGGAAAAGCGTATGAGGCAACTGCAAGCACCAGAAATCACATTCTCGTTAGGGGAAACCAAGTACCCTGAACATGATGATGCATTGGTAATCTCGACCAGTATTGCCAATGCTCAGGTTAAAAGGATCATGGTGGACACCGGGAGTTTCACCGACGTCCTATACTTCGCCGCCTTTCGGAAACTTGGCCTGACCAAGGAAGACCTTACGCCAATGCTATCGGCGCTTACCAGATTTACAAGTGATTCCATTTCACCTCTCGACACCACCATCCTGCCAGTCACCCTAGCAGAAGAGTCAAAGTCCAAGATGATCATGGTGACCTTCATGGTGGTGGAGCTCCCCTCGGAGTACAATGCCATTATGGGTCGTCCAACCCTCAACAAGTTCAGAGCTATCATCTCCATGTACCACTGGGCAATAAAATTCCCAACCCAAGCTGGGACCGGGGAAGCAAGGAGTGACCCTCGGGAATCTCGACAATGTTACATGGCAGCCATTGCGTTACCCAAGATGCTAACGTACGAACAATCTATCGTCGACCCTCGAGACATCACCAAGCCATCGTTGTGCCCCGAGCCAACCGAGCACACTCAAGAGGTCCCGCTGCACAGCAACTAACTAGACATGGTCGTCAAGGTCGGGTCGGAGCTCCCGGAGGAGCGAGAGAAGCTCATCAACCTACTAATTGAAAATGCCAACGTCTTCGCTTGGTCGCTAGTGGAAATGCCCGTGATTGACCGAGGGGTTGCACAGCACCACTTGAATGTCGGTCCCCAAGCGCGACTGGTAAAGTAGCGACCGCGGAAACTAGTGCTCGATCGATAGAGGGCAATGGATGATGAGGTAGAATGACTTCTTGCAATAGGATTTATCACCGAAGCAAAAAACCCCAGATGGCTATCAAATGTAGTTCTCATTAAAAAGCACAATGGAAGTTGGAGAATATATGTTGACTACATCGATCTTAATCGAGCATGCACAAAGGACTGTTATCCACTCCCAAGGATCGACCAGTCAGTCGATGTGACTTCAGGGCACGAGCCTCTCTCGTTCTTAGATTCTTTCTCAGGATACAACCAAATCAAGATGACACTAGAGGATCAAGAACATACTACTTTCATCACAAATCGAGGTGTCTACTTCTAAAGAATGATGAACAGGATGTTCGCCCACCAGATCGGGAGGAACATGGAGGTGCATGTCAACGACATGATCATAAAAAGCAAGTCCGCCTGAACACACCTGGCGGACCTCGTCGAAAGATTCAAGATGTTGCAAAAGTTTGACATGCGCCTCAACCCTACCAAGTGGGCCTTTGGAGTCAACTCGGGGAAGTTCCTTGGCTTTATCATCCATAGGAGGGGAATAGATACAAACCTGGAGAAAGTTCAAGCCATCATCAACATGCAACCTCCCCGCTCGGTGAAGGAGATGCAGTGCTTGACCGGGAGGCTCGTCGCCCTGGCTTAGTTCCTATCCTGATCGGGGGACAAGTGCCTCCCCTTTTTTCGAATACTGAAGAATCCAAGGGACTCCGGATGGACCTCAGAATGTGAAGAGGCCTTTAAGCAGCTCAAGGAGCACCTGACCCAACTACCCCGATTCACTTCGATCTCCTCGGGTGAGCCACTCAGTCTCCACCTCGCAGCCTCTGAGCACGCAGTAAATTATGTCTTAACTCGGGAAGATTCTGGAATGCAACAACCGATCTACTACATGAGCCACATCCTGAGCAACACTGAGACGTGATATCAACCAGTGGAGAAGCTAGCTCTGGTGCTTGTCCAAATGGCCAAGAAGCTATGACCTTATTTCTAGGCCCATCCGATCAAAGTAGTGACCGACCAGCCACTACGACAAATCTTGTCCAAATTTGACATATCCGAACGAATGCTCAAATGGTCGATCGAGTTGGGAGAATTTGACATATAGTATGTCCCGAGGACCACCATCAAAGCTCAGGCAGTAGTCGACTTCATCTTAGAGTTAACTCCTCTCAAAGGCAATACCTATGGGCATATCGAGCAACGATGGAGCCTACATGTTGATGATTCGGCGAATGCCAAAAGGGGCGGGGCCAACCTTATTCTAGAAGGTCTCAATAGCCAATCGTTCAGACATGTGCTCCGCTTTGGATTCAAACCTACCAACAACGAAGCTGAATATGAAGCACTCCTGTCCGGGCTTAAGCTGGCCCTCAAACTCCAAGTCAAAAGCATCATGGTTTTCATTGATTCCCAATTGGTGGTCGGTTATATCAACAGAGATTATGAGGCTCGAGATGCTGCCATGACAAAATACTTGTCCGAGGTGAAGAGGCTCGCTAGCTGCTTCTAGCACTTTGCTATAACAAGGGTGTCGCAGGCGCAAAACACACAAGCTGATGCCTTAGCAAAACTCGCTTCAAGTGCAAACATTGAACTGTTCCCGAATGTCGAGCAGCTTCCTTGCCGGACCATCATGACCGAAGAGGTGGTCGTAATCAGCTCAACCCCATCTTGGGTGGAGGAGATCCTCTGCTACAAAAGGGACGGAACGTTGCTAATTGACAAAGCAGCCTCCCGATGGCTCTAACGCATACAAGCATGGTATTGTGAGGTGAACATATGACTCTATCGAAGGTCGTTCACCTAGCCACTCCTACATTGCCTGGATCCCATGGAGGCCCAAACGGTTTTAGCCGAGGTCCACAAGGGGATCTGTGGGGAGCATATCGGTGGGTGAACCTTAGCCTTCAAAGTCCTATGACAAGGTTATCACTGGTTGACCATGCATCGAGACGCCGCGACGTATGTACAACAATACTAGCAGTGTTAGAAGCATTCCCGAGCACATCATCAACCCGTAGTTTAACCCTCCTGGACAATGCATGGCCCTTCGCACAGTGGGGGATGGACCTCCTCAACTCATTCCCACCAGCCTCGGGACAACAAAAATTCCTCATCATCAGAGTGGATTACTTCACCAAATGGGTGGAGGCTGAGCCACTAGCGTCCATTACCGAGAAGCAAGTTAAAGGATTTGTCTGGAAGAGTATCATTACTCGTTTTGGCATCCCTAGAGTCATCATCACTGACAATGGCAAACAGTTCAATAACGAAAAGTTCAAAAGATTTTGCTCAAGCTATGAGATACAATTGGGGTTCAGCTTGGTGGCCCACCCCCAAACCAACAACCTGACCGAAGTGACCAACCGAGCGATACTGGAGGGCCTGAAGAGAAGAGTCACGAGAGCTCATAGCACATGGGTCGATAAACTCTTGAGCATATTGTGGGCCTCCCAAACAATGCCAAAGACCACCACGGGAGAATATGCTAGTCATAAGTGCCCAGCAAGCCAATCACGTGAGTGATGGCACATGTGACTTGACATGAAATTTTTTTACTTATTATATTTTATCATTTATCAATTTATATTAACTATTATATATATGCATGTATATATTGTGATGTTCTTGGATCTGTGCAATGGGAATCAGATCGTGATGAGATCACAATAATGAGACCGATTCACCTTTAAACACAGATCCTAAATAATCCCGGTTATAGGTTACTCGAGAGGGACATCGAGATAACCGGACAGACTGGTGTGCTGTTTACTCGTCCATATGATGGATATAGCTGGTCTAATAGTTGCTTATATGGGGACAATAGGGATATAGTACAGGTGCTCATTGGAGAATGAGTTTATTGATTGATCCGTTTACGGAATGCTGGATGGTTGATGATGCCTTATTGTCAAACAGCGATTTCGTAGTCTCAGTGGTGTCTTTGGTCCTTAGACTTGAGACACCAAGGATGTCCTATATGAGTGCTCCATTCTTTGATACCAGACTTATAGGTTTGGATGTCCCAAATCTAGTACAACCGGTCATTGGGAGTGTCAGTCGACCTTACGAGGGCTATTGAGTATCGATAGAGAATCATCCACTCTCGACGTCATGAGAGAAATATCTCATGTGTTCTTCCTCAAACAAATCCCTAGCTAGAGTCATTCGGATTGAGAGAAAAGAGTTCTCTGGGAGAATCCGATTAGAGCGAGACTCGAGTAGAAACCATATGAGTCTGATAGCACTATGCCAGGTATATGGTCTTTGGGATATTAGATAGATGAAAGACTATAGGTACACGGTAACTAAGGACAGACAAGTCTAATGGATTTGATTCCCCTATATCGTCTGGGATTACGGCGTAGTGGCCTAGTACGTCCGCGATCGATGAGTCGAGTGAATTATTATAAAGATAATAATTCACTAAGCTAGAAGGAGTTCTGACATATATGACTCATGGCCAGCTCGATATTGGGCCTAGAGGGTCACACACATATGGTAGGCACTGCGATGAGTAGAGGTATGAATATGAGATATCCGTCGGAGCTCTTGTCTTATTGGATATCCAATAAGCACTGAATTATTGGATCCTATGAATGAGATCCAATAAGAGCCCATGAGAGATTATTGGATAGAGATCCACTAATCTAAGAGGCTTGGGTAGTTGGATGCAGATTCAATACCCTATAGGGGAGGATCCATTAGGGTTTGACAGAGGACCTCTATAAATATAAGTGATTCAGTGGTTCATAGGCTAAGTCTTTGCTTGCCTCTCCTATTCTCCTCCTCTCCACCTCGGAGCAGGTCTGGAGTTTTGAGGAGTGTCGTTGCAACCCTGTTTTGTGGATCACCATTAGAGAGAAGAATGCTTGACCTCTTTCACCCTCTCCTAGAAATCTATAAAGAAACATGGATATACAATCTCCCTGGTAACACAATCTATTCTATACGTAGTTTGTTTCGCGGATTTTTATGCCCCAACCTTTACATGATGACGAACATCTTTTTGGAAAATTGGGGATTTTGTTTTCTTGTTCTTTCGCTGCACATGTGATGTCGCCCCTAAGATTTTCCAACATAATCACCCTTCAGCTTGGCGTTTGGTACCAAGGCGATGCTCCCACCCGAGGTAGTATTTTCAACACCTCGAGTTGAAAACTTCAATGATAGTGCATCGGAAAGCAGACTCCGAGCTAGCTTAGATCTCATCGAGGAACGAAGAGCTGACGTGCATCTCCGAGCCCTGTCTTATAGAAGGGTCGTCACAAGACTCTACAATCAAAGCATACATCCTTGACCAATCAAGCTAGGTGATTTAGTCCTACGAAAGGCCGAGGTTAGCGACCCAACTCACTCCTGAGGCAAGCTGGCCCCAAGTTGGCAAGGCCCCTACCGGGTGACGACGATAGTCCGAGATGGTATTTACTGCTTAGCGACGCAGGAAGGATAGCAATTGTCGAGGACATGACACATATCGAACTTAAAGAAGTTATCTATTTGAAAAGTCTGTCGGGTCGGATTGAAACCCTCGATGCCAAAAAAGAGGAGAGAAAATGTGCATCTCACAAGATTAGGAAAAGGAGTTTTCATTGATAAAGAAAGGTTACACTACCTGACCGGTTGCGACATACGGAACAAAATAATGCCCAATTGGTCGCCAAAAGAGGTTTAGGAAAAAAAAAAAAAAGCCTAAGCTTCGGGAAGATCAGTGCTGTCGTCGAAAGTGACTTCGTCAGTCATCTCCACGCTATCATCTTTAGGAAGATAGGTGAAGGGGTATTCCTCAAA